AAGTGTCGTGTGTTCTTTACGGCTACGAAAATTACAACAGCTGGCTGCCCCAACTCGCTGACGAAACAGGAGGTTAGTTGTTGGGATGGAAATTCTTTCGAGTTAGAAGAGGTTTCCAGTCTTTTCCATTCTGTGGTCTCCGACCGATAAATGATAGTCATGTTTAGGGTTTGTTATTTTTTCATATTCATTTATTACAAGCAACGAATAGCGTAATGGTACCAATAAGATTCCTATTCACTAATAATAGAGAGATAGTTATCTATGGGTACTACAGTACATCATAAAATCTGCATGTAATTTGACTTTACAATACAATAAAGTCGGCTAAATAACCTATCGTTTGACAAAAAAGAAATCTAGTTAATATTCACAGACAGTATGGGAATGCTGGTGTTGCTGGACAAAATCCAGTTAAATTCGGTTATAGTTCTCATAGAGCTCCATGGCCTCACAGAAAGTACAAGTGCAGGCTGGGAACCCCCGATCTAGAACCCAAAGCATATTCCTCTTTCTGTCTCTCCCTCTCGAAAAGCAGAGAAAATACGTTTATATATATTTCCATATGTTCGTGCGCACGTACGTCATGTAAGTTTATATTTACATGCAAGCTAGCAAAATATCAGTATATTAGACCCTCTTTTTACTCTTACTACGACATTTTTACATTTTGTTATTTTCATTTATCCGTTCATTATCATGGATTTGTATCTTGCACTCGCCAGGTTCCTTTTACATCAGTCCCACCTATGATCCCACGTACGCGAGACAGGCGCTCACCAGCCTTCAACCGGACCCCGCAGAAGTTACTGTGAGTTTGCAAATCCTCTTTCTCAATTTTCTTCCGATTAGCGAATTTGGATAAAAGGCACTTACTGCTCTTCCTTTACTTAACACTATATTTTCCTTTCTTTCAGCTCCTTCGCCAGACTAGATCACTAGAAGCTGCGGTGACAGTGCCAGTAGTCGTAGATTCATCCTTGGGACTTTCGACCTATTTTTATGCCAACTTTTCAGCGTCAGCAGTGGGCTTCACACTCATCAGCCCGGCAGGAGATGAGACGGAAATTTCTTCGCCTTATACTCATACTGTGAATGACGCTGCAGCTGGTACTTGGGAGTGCGTAGAAACGATGATCCTCTTGTTATTATTGCATTATGTATTGTGTTAAACGTTATAACTTGCTTTGGAACAGCCTTGTACTAAAGCCTCTGCTCTTCCCTAGAATGGTGCTGAACAGTACCGAAGGCGGCACAGTCGACGTCCTGGTGACCTCGAACCGCCGTGGCGCCGAAAGCGATGTGGAAGTCAAAACCTGGACGTCTGCTTCCAGTCAAGGCAACCTGGACTTGAACACCAGCGGCCTGATCTTCTACGTCTCCGTCACGCAAGGGAACGTGGCCGTCAAAGGGCTGCACGTGACTGCCACGTTCTACTCGGCAAAGAACCTGGCAACACAAGTGGTTGTTCCCTTAAGCGATGACGGTTATGGCGGTTAGTATTTAGGCGTCTTACCTGTCAAAGCGGAGAGAAACTGAACCATGAATAACATACTTATGTCTATATGTAAATTTGATAGGTATACATGCCTTCTGTACATGCACACATCCATATATATGTGTATATATCAACGTACATATATTAAAAAGAAATGTGTGTATATATTCATACACATGGACATATATATCACACAGGCATTATACATATATGCATATATATATATACATATATATATATATATATTATATATATATATATATATATATATATTATATACATACTATATATATACAGTATAAATACACACACACACACACACACACACACACACACACACACACACACACACACAACACACACACACACACACACACCACGCCACACAGAATTACATATATTATATATATATATGTAATATATATATATATATATATAAATCTATATATTATAATATATATACCACGTACAGATATATAATACATATACACAATACAATACAACACATATACACACCACACACACACACACACACACACACACATCACACACACACACACACACATCAGCACACACACACACACACACACACACACACACACATATATAATACGTTATATATATATATATATATATATATATAACCGATATTTATATATATGTGATATAAATGTATATTATATACATATATATACATACCATTATACATATCTTATAATATACTCATATATATAATATAAAATACATAACTATATATACACATACACACACACCCACACACCACACACACACACACACACACCACACACACACACACACACACACACACACACACACCACCACACAACACACACACACATACACTCCTTTTATATATATCATCATATATAATATATTATATATATTATATATTATATATATATATATGCACATACACCACACACAAACACACACACAAACAGACACACACACAAAACCCACCATTTATATCCATATGTATGT